CTGATGTATTCGTTGAAACCTGAAATTCGCTTTTAACCATGTAACTGATATCGTTGTTAATTTTATGCTAAATGCAAGCGCGTAATTGGGGCGGTAATGAGACGTTCAAAAAGACACTCGGCAGACTTTTGCCTAAAGAGATGCGAAAAAGCGAACTAAACTGCGAGGACGCTTTCATAAGGTTAAGAATCTTGCCTCCATTCGACGTAATTTGTGTGCGTGCGCAAAAGTCATAAAATCATGCTCTGAATATAACGAAACGCATAATTCGAAATTTACGATCCGCCAGCGGAATACTTGAAAGATGTTACCCATACGCGATCCACTTTTGCGATTTATTTTATTTTGCGATTTAGATCTTTGCGCTCTGCCACTCTCTAACTTTATAATGGTCTTTAATATTCAGGCTTGAGATTATTTAATGCGATGAAAAATTATTGAAGGCTAAATATGCAGAAATATAAGGGAAAGAATGAAAAAAGAAAAAAATATATTATAATACGATATATATATATATATTTTCTTTATACAGAAAATTCAGTATGCGGGCAAGAACGATCTTTCGTTGTAATGAGAACACTTTTATTTATATCAACGTTGTTTTAATAGCTACAATTCTTACAAATTTTATTGAGCAATAATGTTGTCAAGGTTGCAGCTGGCATCAAAACGTATTATTAACAGTGCTTTCGTCGAACACTTTAATTTGTGAAGTTATACTCAATTATCTGATGGTGTTGACAACAAGAAATGATACAATATTATTTTTGCGTCATATCAGAATAATTTGTTAACTTCATTTATGAAGATTGTATCAATATTATATATTATATTTAAATATACAATATAGATAAGAAGGATGGAATTATATACGTAAATTTACGTACAAATTATATCTTTATGCTGTGAAGTGGAAGCATAAAGCTCGTTGTTTATTTAATTTCTTACTCTATGAGCAGTATTAATCATTAATTCTTATATTTAAGACCGTCTTAAGTACAGTTTCTTAAAATATCATGAATCAATCAGAGATTATATGTATTATCTTAAGAATTAAGACTTAAATGATCTTGAAATAAGAATGGCTTATGAATGCCTATAAGTTATTTGTGAAATTAATAAAAAATTTTTGACATTGGAAAATATCCTTATTAACAGAAAATAAATTTTTATAAAGTAGTTTATATTTCAAATTTGATATATTACAAGTGATTTTTAAATTCGGCCTCACACGCGATTATCAAATCTAATAACAAAATGACTATCTATTATACATAAAACAATAATGGCACGTCCTACGCGAATTTTTGTAATAACAATGCTTATGTGATAAAATCATTAGGAAACATTTCTTTATCCATGTATGGCTGTCTTGTCGCGATCATTCAATCCCATTACAAAAAGAGTATTAATATATTATCACGGTATATTATACCGGTCTCGCGACCTACTCCAAGGATACCGGCGTAATTCGCCACGAGAACGAGCTCGCGAAGAAGAAGAAACGTGGTAGCCGCGAAGGAAAAAAGGAAAGAGAGAACGATGTGGACGGCTCCCTCAACAACGCCGTCGGCGTTATAGGGTGCCTGCAAGATGCAGACAACAACATGGCCCGTGCTGCGTACAATAGCCTCCGCATTATGTGCACAACGCGGCGATGGGGCAGTGCTAAGGTTACATTACCGGCTGGTTGCCTCCTCCTCTCACAAAGAGGACCTTACGGCACACAATGAGATCAGTGAGGAAGAGTGCGCCCGTGCGTGTGTACGCGCCCCGCACACGCACGCAATACGCCACGCTCGTGTACGCCGACCTAGCGATGGGGTGAAACTGGTGTCGTGCTGAAGAACTCTGTTGGCGATAAATACACGAATATATTTTAATACTAAATTTGTGTCACAAGAGACATTCAAATAACCGTATTACGTGAATAAAATTACACGGAGATTTATTGTAGTTTTATCAATGAATGAGAGAGATTTACATTAAAATTCTTCGAAATACAATGTTGTCCCCCTATCATATTTTCAGGACAAACTAAGAAAAAATTCTCTCCGTGTATGAAACAAGTTCCCTTGGAGTAATTATAATAATAAATAAATCTTTCTTAAAAATAAATTCTTAATTCTAATCGATGGATTCAGTAGACCCGGACATTTTCTTCAACTATAGTGTGGAAAAATTGTTTATAATAAATGTCGTTCACAACTTTACATAATTTTAAATTACATCACTTTATTCCTGGGATTTTGACCTTTAAATTAAAAAATTCGATTACGTTAATTTTGAGCAAACATATATTAATTTAAAATATACTGAATCCTAATTAATTAAAAAATATATATTGAGATTTAATAACTTTTTTCGGTGTACTCACATTAGTTATACTTATCCTTTCCATTCCGATTACAAGAATCGATAAATATTCAGGTTTAATTCGAACAAAGTCGATCGATCGTCAGAGGTAAAGCTTGCGCGAGGATTCCCGCTCGACCCCATCGCTGCGCGCACCGCATGCAGTCCGTTGCAACGCGTGTTTCCACCGTGTGGTGGGGTCGGCTTCCAGGCCTGAGAACATTCCCACGTTCCGTAGCACGAGCCAAGAGTATACAACCGGAAGAATTTTGGAGGCGAGGCTACCCATTCTGCGCCGAGGAAGAAAGAGACGGACGGAATCTCGCGAGTAAAGGGATGGAAAGAAATGATGGACGACCAGAAGGGAGGGATTGAGGCTAGGGGAACATGGTAAATGGGGAGAGAAGAGGCTGCCGCGTCTTTACGAAGTAGAGGTCTGTTCCGCGGAAGTGTTCCGACACGCCGACGAATTAGCATCGACGACCTCGTATCTTCCTCCGTGCCGACAGACGGGGTCGCTGAGAAGGAGCGCGAAGAGGCTCGGCGAAGCGAAGCACGAGGAGGTCGAGGAGCGTCAAGAAAATCCCCTTGAAGAGACTTCGGATCCGGTAAATATTACTGTAGCTCGAAGTGATGGGATCGAGGATTGTTGCTTTAGCCTGGGGAAAATACATTTATCGTTTATTTGTACTGCTTCGCTTTATGCGGTTGGAGAAGGCAAGAGAGGGATAACTCTGAGCTATTATAATTCACGTTACTTCATTGATACCGATTGATAATAAATTATAAGTTGTAATGTTTAAACGAGCCCGCCGGCTTGATTATTTCCTGGAATATCTTTCTACATTTTTTTACAAGACGCGATCGATTATGATTCTATATTGTATATTTCTTATACACCGCTCTGGGATATATTTGACTAATAATAAGAAATAATCGATGTTTCTTTAGATGAAAATTGTCGATTAATTGCTGTTTGTGCAAAGACTGCAGTTATTGTTAGTGATTATTTAACTCGCGCGGTAATGCAACTGTGATTTTATAAATTTATTGCTATCTTTTTTTCTCTTTGTCAACACGTTATTTGTCTCGCATTAATATTATCAACATTTTGTATATTAAATAACTAAATTGATATTTTGTATAGGTGTTAAATCGTAACTTGCTTCAACGTGGTTTAAAAAAATAACTTACAAAGCTTTATTAGAAAAATTAGCAATTAAAAAACACTATAGTGTTTTTTTAATTGCTAATTTTTCTGTGCAATATATATTTCACGAAAAATAAAATTACAAGTTAATATTACGCATTCTAATTATTAACATTATTATGTACTATCGTATCGTAATAATAATTAAAAATACCCTCTATCGTTCATACATGCATCAACGTTATACTTAATTAACGTCACGTCGATTTTTTGCTTATCGCGCTTATCAAGCCAATCGAAACGGTAAAATGTCAGATGCAGGACTTACCGAGTGTTCAAAAAAATTTTGGAAACCTTATAATTTCCCATCTCGCAACTAATTAATATGCTTGACAAACCTGTTATACAACCAAAATGTCGACTTAACGGTCGCGTGTAATGTCAACGCGAATCACGATGAATCCCGACGTATCTCTTTCTTTTTTTCCTCTTTCCCCCCTCCTTCTCTTCCTCGCTCTTAAGGTCAAGACTTCCTCGATCTCTCGATGAAGGAAGCGCACGATTTGCTACGGACCGACCGATGAGTGCACAAAAAATCCATCATACCCAGAAACGAATTACGAACTTCATCGTCGGGGATCACATAAGGACGCGTTCCCGCCGCGAGAATATCAACGTTCATTTCATTCGCCGCCGATGGTGAGCGGGCGTAACAAGTTGTTAACGTGGGGCAATAATATGTACCCGGTGTCCCGGCGGTAGCGCCGCATCGGCGCGGATAACGCTCGTTTCGTCGGGGCTTTAACTGGCGTACGCGCGTACCGCCGCATCCGGCTTGTATGACCAATCAATGTAATTATCCTACCGGTCTTCTACCGGCGCGCGGTCGCTCCTGCCTTATTTTCCGTCGACGCACGTACTTACCGCGCAGAAACTATCATTCAAGAGGGGAATTGATAATAATAAATAAGACATAGCAAAAGAGGAAGAAAGAGAGATAGAGAGATAGAGTTTGAATCGAGAGGGAAGAGACACGTAATATGGATCGTGTTCAGACAAATAGAGTACAAGGATTAACCCTCTAAATGGTAAGGTTGGGGTTGGATGCGATCTACGGCTTCGTCAGTTAAAATGTGTTGTATTTTACTGCTACTATTTAAAGTCTTTTAGTAAACATTATTGTATATTTTTATCTATAAATAAGCAGGGAAAAAAGTTTTATTTGCAGTTATTATTTTCGAAACTATTTTGTATATTGATTAAATAAAAAAGACTGGACCCGAATATATATTCCGAAAGTCCATCTTGCTACTAGAGGGTTAATAATAAATACGTGACACACGCATGGACTAAAATGAAATTGCTCAAGCATATCTAGAAGCCTGGCATTTCGCCAGAATAAGCAGATACATATATGTCGCGAGCGTTTTGAGACTGTTTCGTTGAAACCTCTTGTATCGCAGTTAAATGTCAACGAGAGAAGTGTTTCGATCAGTATAATTGTGCAGTACGGAAACGAAGATAACCGCTGAAAACGATGTAAGAAAAATTTTATCTAACGGCTATCATAGAATTACGACACTTACATGTTTTTATATTATTTCTTGCTATAAAATACTGACTAAGAGAATAATATTTAGTAATATCTCATTTAAAAGGGAATTGAAGAAAGAAAGTAGGCTTTGTTGTTACGATAAACTATTTTAAAATATTATCTTTATAACAGAATTATGATTGTTTCACATTTTTTTATTATTTCTCATTGTTAAAGAGGTTCTCACGTTTGATGAAATATAAGACAAGTCTATAATATACATGTAATACGAAAGTTAATAATATCAATAATATCTAGAAAAATTTCATTGACTTTTACCGTACCATTTTGAAGATATTTAATTGTAAATTTATAGAATTTTATATTACAAGTTGAAGGTATAACTTTATTCTGTAATTATTCTCTTTTAAATTGAGTATAAGACAACAATTTAAAAATCGTTATAATTATATAAAGTAAACATTTAAGTTTGTTCTCGTAAAGATTCATTTAAACTGATCGTACAGTTTACAAAAAATTTACTTTAATGAAGAAAGCTAGAATATAAAAAATGGACGATGCATCGTGTACATCAAATGAGCATCTTACAACTTTTGTCATTTTGAAAATATTTAATAACATAAAATTAACAATAATTATGTATAACGGCATGAGATATTGTTATTAATCTTCCATTATTTTAATCATTTTACATATTATTATGAATAAACTGTCTATTGACTAGGAAGTAGCGCGAGAACCGCCTTAAATATTGACAGAGAGAATAACATTTAGTAGTCTCGTTCAAAAGAGAGAAAGAGAAAATAGTCAGGTTTGCTACAGACCTGGAAAACCGGAAAAAGTCAGGGGAAAATGTAAAAAAGTCTGAAATTTTGAAATTTGCTAACAATTCCTTTAAACTGCTCTCGTTTCAAAAAAATAATTGTTTTAATTTTTTAAATATTATATCTGACGTTTTTTTTTATAGTCAAATACGTTCAAAATTTACGCATTTTAAATGATTTTAATAAAATAACTAAAATTTATATTTTATTCAGTATTTTTATTTAATCGCTCTTTTTCGTCCTAACTACATTCTTTTTTTTTCAATATTAATTTATTTTTTGTTGGCTTGAAATTTTATTATGTTACTAAACTTCTTTTGCGTTGTTTTTAATAATGTAGGCTCTCTCTCTAGCTTTCCTACAATACTTGATTCTAAATGTTAAAATTTAGATATTTTATATTGGTCATGGAAAATTTTCTATTTTCATCTGGAAAACCTGAAAAAGATAGGGAATTTTTAAATTCATTTTCTGTGGCAATCCCAAAAAGTGGACTTGTCAGCAAACTAGGTATTCTAAAATATTATCTTTAAGTTCATACTATCTTTTTGTGAAGAGCTTTAGTGATTAACGCAGCCTCTTAAAATCGAGGACAGACTTATCTCGACCGTCGGAGATTCTCACTTACAAAGATATTATGGCGAACCTCTTCCGAGAGCAGAGTTTCTCGAATCCTAAAAATTTCTATGACGAAATTCCACTGGTATCAATTTCTATCGCAATCACGAACAAATCGGCGATTAAGCGACGACCGCATGCCTGAAAAAGCGGATTTTTCTTTTTCCTTTTATGAAGACGACACATCGTGGTAATATCCGGATCGCGCGCGCGCGGACGCCTCCGAAGCGACTAGCTACTTTTGCGTTTAGACCCAACGGCTCGTAAACGTACTCGACCGGCCCACTCAGCGGGGCCTTGTTTGGAATATCGGCTTCCAAAAGGGCTAAACACCTCGTTAAGTCCCACAAGCAAGGCCCGTCCGAGTCCGAGAATGGACGGATCATTAAGAACGTACGTTTATAATTCAAAACATCGGCTCCTGGGCCCCGCTCCGATTGCACCGGAACCGGTTGTCAGAAACCCTCGAGACATTCTCTATAATATCGGACTGATCTCGAGTGGTATATATGCAAAATTCTCTCAAGTTCTTTCACGCGAATCTTTTAAGAGCAGGAAGAAATCATAGGTTAATTATAGTAAAAAATTTAGAGAACCTACTGGATACGTTCACAGAATTTTTTTATTGCAGAATAGAAAAGTGATCTAACTAGATAAGATAGAAGATGACAGAATTTTTTTCCCACGCGGAAGAGTGTTTCTGGCCAAATTCGTCCAGTAACACTATCCGTTATCTTTCTAGATAGAGCTGCCATGTAGAAGAGATTCATTCATTAAAACTTTCTAAAAATTTTTTTCCCAAATAAATTTTTATAATACGTTCTCAGCGATTCGTATGACGTAATGCAACAGAGGACGCAATTTAACAGATGATCTCGTATAATCGCGATGAAACAAGCGTGGGCGGGCCGCGTACGTGATGTTTATTTCCATTGTTCCACACGAAGAGGAACGCGAAATGGTCCAGTCCGCGACACGACGTTGCTCGCCAAGACGTGATTCACTCCGAGGAAGTGCCGGGAGTGCTGCCGACACGCGCGTGCACGTGCACCACGTCGGTGGTAATTCGACGTAAATCAACAAGTGTCATGCGCCTCGAGCGCGGATGCGCGAACCAACAGCGGTGTTTAGATGTCCTATAAATATCGTTTCTCCGATTGAAAACATCGTTATCGTAGTCCGCAGGCGCGATCGAATAAATATTCTTCTTACAAACAGTTTTCTGTAAATTTTGATATTTCAATATATAATAATTGGGTGAAAACGCGCGATTGTAAAGTATAGATACATCTCTTAGTCCCAGTTTTTCATTTTCTGATTAACTTCTGATTAGGCTTAATCTGATGATAAAAATTGTATTTTTCTAGCTATGGTTAATCACTAAATTGATGGTTTTGCAGTGAGTAACTTTTAAAGTTACCACCTTATCTTTTACATTATATGCAAAATCAGTTCCATCTGTATGATATTGAATAAAAGTGTATAACATCTTCGTATAACAGAATGCATATCAGTCATTGAAAATTACAAACGATCGGCAAATGATATATCTCCAAATGACTCGGAAATCGCGAGAAAGTTCGTTTTCTCTCACTATGTTTCAATCTAGCCTGCATCCTCGCGAAGCGGCATCCTTCGTAGATTCAATCGCGATAATCTTTACCTCCGGCGCGAGAATCGAGGCTCGCGCCGCTCTACCGCGCGACGGATCGCGCGAGTCGTCCTCGTGCTGGTCGCGCGTCGTGGCGTGTGCTCTCCTCTTCTCGCCTCTCGCCCGTGTTTCTCGGCGCGGTTTGGCGCGTCGTGTCGTGCCAGGGCACCGCGTGCAGGTGTGTTCTCTTCTCGGTGAGCGAAGTGTCCCCTCCCGTGCGCGCGCGCGCGCACGCTCGCACTCTTCGCTCGCAAGGAGGGCCCCCCCTCCTCGACCCGGCAGGCGTTAAGCGGCACAGAACCTGTGCAGGCCCCAACAGGCCCCCCGATCTGTGGGAACGCTCCGGCCCGCGAGCTTCCCACGATACGCCACGGCTGCTGCTGGCTGGCCGTGCACGCGGGCTGCAGGGTTCAGCACACCGTGCCCCTCGGACCCCTCCGTCACCCAGCTGTGGGGCGCAGGACGACGGCGGCACGGGTGGGGTATCACGCGGCATATAAATAACGGGTTGTACCCCACCAGCGCTTCAGAACCGTCACGAATACGTACGGACTCAGACGCACTCTCGGCACTCCGAGAACAGCGAGACAGTACTGTTCGAATAGAGAGTAATATAAACGTCCAACGTTTTCGATTGTGCTTTTGATTTCGAACCGATTATACGTTAACGAGATACACGTTAACAAGAGAACACCGCGGATTCCCCTAGAGCCTTGATCGAATCGTCGATCGGTGATTCGGCCCGGGATCAACGCAGGACATCCGCAGAAGAATCCACTCTCACTAGACTCAGTTATCTCTTGTTTTGTGACCAGTGACAATATAAAGTGTGATCATGTCACCGCACACGGGTTACACGCCGGTCAGCGGCATGGAGTACGAGGAACCAGTGTCGCGCACTTATCAGTACCGCAAGGTGATGAAGCCGATGCTGGAGCGCAAGCGACGTGCTCGTATCAATCGTTGCCTGGACGAGCTGAAGGATCTGATGGTGACCGCGCTGCAAGCCGAGGGTGAAAACGTGGCGAAGTTGGAAAAGGCAGATATCCTCGAGTTGACGGTGCGTCATCTTCACACGCTACGCGCTGCCAGGAGACTCACACTCACGCCGGAAAATAGCTACGCCGACCGATTTCGCGATGGCTTCACCCAGTGCGCCCAGGAAGTGTCAACTTTCCTATCGACGCCGGTCGCTGCAGCGGTGCATCCCGCCGCGGGTGCTCAGCTCATGCGACATCTCGGTGGCTGCCTTCGACGACTAGAGGGTCCAGCTGGTACCAAGCATGCGCTGCCGACGGCAACCTCGGCAGCTGCGACGACAACGACTCAAGCGCCGACGGGCCAGACAAACGTGCCCCAGAACGTGTACACTCCTCCGCAGAGCCCTGTCAGTGTCGCGAGCTCCTCCGGTGAGTCTTCGGAGTCTTCCAACGCAGTTTGGAGACCCTGGTGATGAGGCAATCAAACGACAATGTACACCATCCTGAGATCTCCGGAGCGGACGTTCGAAGTGATCGAGACGGACAATCCAATGACGAAGGATCCTCCCGCTGAATAGCACCAGGAGAAAAACGACGAATCGCTGTCTTCCAAAAGAAACTTTTTGACGAAGTCTCATTGAGAATTCTTTGAGAACTTTTACTTCTTTACGCGGTTTACTCGGTCGCATTGTACATAGGTGATTAAAGCTTTAAGTGACGTCTGTGATAGGGTTCCATTTTGTACCTGAGATGACTATTTTCTTGTAAAACATAGCGACTATTATATAGATGTTAACTTGTTATGTTTAAGAACCTTTTTCGACGTAATGCCGTCCGGCGTCTCTGTTGAGGCCGTCGGGCAGTATCATCATCATCATCATCAATAAACGTCTTGTTTCAATGATAAACGATATCGAATCACCACCCACAATATATTCCGCATCCTTCTCTTCTTTATTAATCTTCTTATAACGACAGAATCATAGATATATGAAAAGGCTATATGACACAGCGCGATAAGCGTTACTTCATTCAAAGAGTACATTCCTATTTATATTACAGAATTTAAATTCGTAACTTTATCATGTCACGAAATTTAATATACCTATTTGTGCAAATTATTATAAGTCAATCAAACGAAAAAAAGAGAAAATATCTGTTGCAGCTTTTAATTATTTAATAATAAATTAATATTTACATTCAAGCTATTGATAATAAAAAGAGTTATAAATATATTTTAAAATGTAAAAAAAGCAAAAGTTGAGATTGACATTTATTCTGATGATTCGTTAATTCTATTATTTATTAATTTATTTAAAAAAGCATTTGTAGAATATGTTATACAAAAATAATTTGCATAATTTAACATACTTACAGATTTTACTCGATTCAAATGGATTTAATTAATCTTATATTTTATTATTAAATTTTGAAGGTAACGATCAAAATTAGATATGTATGTCGTATACACAGTTTGTCGCAAACCGTATTTTGCGATTAACAAATTTAATATATTTGTGCAAATTATAAGTTAATTAAACAAAGCAAAAAGAAAAAAGTGTCAAAGCTGTTATTGATAATAGCAAAAGAATCACATATACATTTCAAAATATTAAAAAAATAAGAAAGAATCGATATTGATATTTACATCGATTCGTTTTAATTAGATATTTATTAATTTATTTAAAAGCATTTAGCAGCATATACAAAAATAATTCACATAATTTATTAATAGATTTCGTTTGATTGTTCAATGGATTTAATTAATCTTCTACTTTATTAATAAATTTTGAAAATAACGGTCGAGGTTAGACATATATCGCAGATGGTATTTTCGCGATTAAGAAATTAATTGTTTAGTCTATAGATAAAAAGTTATCTTTTTTGTTCTGGGATATCTTATTTATTTTATATAAAATAAATCAAGTATGTGCATATATATGATACATAAATATTCGCGAGACCGATATAACTTCGGAATTTTGGCATTAAATACATCTTACGAGCGCAAGGCTTTATTATAAAATTACTAAGATTATAAATAATGGAAGACGTAGTTTGTCGTTGAAAGAAAAAGCGGAAAATGTATTTTATATTTCATTATATTTTCGTAACTCTTATGTCCATATCCAATTATAAAGACACGATCTGGCCATTTCTTGTATCGCCAAAAAATCACGGAAGTTACGGTACAGGGGATGCAACAAGATTAAATCGCTTCAAATTGCACAGCACTGCAACGAAAACACTACAGCAAGTCACCTTCGGCGCATGCAAAAGGCTACAATGTTTGGCCGACGGCTTTAATCGCGCCATGCGACATTGCAAGAAATCGAAAACCGCCTGTCACCTGCCGTAACCGTCCAGGTACCGTATCCGGAGGTGGCGAAACTGACACATGAATATTAATGCGTCTTATGCGACTTAATACGAAAGCTTTCTTGCATCCGAGTCTTAAAACACGATTTAATCAATTTCCCTCATTCTCCACGGGCGTCAAAAACACAATGTCTGTTTCGTACACACACTCCACAGGAAGAGTAATCTTGCTCTGGTTTTTTTTTTTTTTTTCCAGTTTGACCCAAACCTCATGAATTAATTTTAGAAATCTCTAGTTCTCTCCGATATTAATTAACATGTGTCATTAAAATGAATCGAATAGTCTCCTTTTTCTACATGAATTGGAATCATGATCTAATATTTAAAAAAGAGGAATAATCTGCAGAGCAAGCGGATGGATTGCTCCAAAAGTCATCGATCAATCGTGACAATCGATGGGCGCGACGCTTTCACACTTTTTCGAGTCTTCCGTTCTGGTTGTATTTTTAAAGCATCGCGTTAATTTGATTTTACGTAAGTGGGCCACGAAAGAAAATTAACTCTTTCTTCTCCGCGAGTCCCCTGTCTTACTTTCCGATTAATGCACTACCGTGTTCCGGCGACTGCGCGATCGATAACGAGTATTTAATTGCCACACGGTGGCCGGCATATTTACTTAACATGCGTTTCGCGGCGGCGAATTAATTGACAGCTCTCGCTTTTTATATTCAACCGCCGCATGCGCACATCTGCATCTTGATGTCTATCATCGAGCTTATCCATTTTATGGTTTCTGCAATGTATCTTCTTCTACCTTCCCTGTACCTTCCTGCAAACTTATCATTAAAGGGAAAGTGTCGTAACTTTAGTTTTATGACTGTTAATCGTGCGAAATAAGTTAATGCTTGTAAAGAATTTACTATAAAATAAATATTTTCTTATCTCGGAGTTCTTATCTTTTATCGTGTTTTACAGACAATATCTCGTTGAAGAATTTGGGAAATTATCATATTGGAGATGATATTTTTTCCTCCATTAAGAGGAAGACTAGTTCTTCAAATTGTTTTACAAATAGAAAATTACGACAAATTTCAGGAAAAAAAGTTAGTCCACGAATGAAAAATAAGACAAGCGAAGTTTCTAGGATAGAATAAATTACAGCAGTAATTTTTTTTTAATTGTTTCCACAATACTGTCTCTTTAAAAATACAATCATACGGCAAAATATATCTATCGTTTCACAAACGGTGTTGTGGTACCGACTTCTCATTCAAGCGCAATGTGCAATTGACAGGCGCGATACTCGCATGCGAATGATTGCACTCGTAATTATTAGGATGTATTATACAAGCCACTAGTTGATTCACAAGTTTAACGAGACGTAACATTGTGTTCAAATTATTAACAAAATTGTTTTCAATAGAATTAGCTAAAGCGTGTTAAAGGAATTAAGTAATCAAAAAAAGCTACTAGAGAATTATTTTTTTATATCTTTGTTGGACTTTTAAATAATAATAAAGTATAATATAAGAATAAATGGAATAAAAGCAAGCATAAGATGCATCAAATGAACATAGGATGCACTAACGCAACACGAATGTTCTAATCATGTATGAAATATTGAAAATATGCTTAGAAAGTTGGGATGAACGTAGTTGCATAAGATTGTGAAATGCAAGTTAACGTTTGTTGGCAGTTCAAATTTCAACGATCTTTGAATTGACTTGTAAGTTATCCGTAGTGGTCTATCGAAATGTAAATTATTGCTATGGTGTAAATATTCTTGTTATTTTTTCGCGGTATTTAACCTCACGATTTCGCAATTACACACCAGCAGACTTTTTTATAAGATCGGTTAAGAAGATATTATTACCTCCATGTTTTTGCGTGCGTTTCTCGAAATGTTTTCTCCACGAATTCCCATGCATGCTACAAAGAAATGTTAATCCTTGTTATCAATGAGAGATACGAAGGATATCCTTCTAAGAATCCATTATTATCTTTCGGCAATTGTAATAATCGCGAATTAATTGTTATGTTTCAGGTGTTTGTGGCCGCGTCGTCATAATGCTGGTAGCTGCTGGCGTTTGAACAATACAGATTGGTACGTACCTTTTCTTTTACAAATCTCCTTCATGATTGTGCACGCGCTATTTTCTAATCCGTGTATTAAGATGTTTATGTCATGCATTGATACGATCGCAAAGCATCATTATTCGATCTAGAATCAGTCTCGCAGCCGCAGAAATTACTTAGCGGTGTAATTGCCAATGCAATAATAACATTTTATGGCTTTATGTTTTACATCATTCAGTTTCGTGACCTTCATTCTTTATAATTCCCATCATATATTGACGTCTTACTATACGACTTTTTATCAAACGTGTTCAGAAGATCATGAGTTAAGGAATGTAAATTCAACGGATTATTCTTTTTTTCTCAAGAAAAATATTATATTAAATTTTCATGTGTTTCTGTCAAATACATAATGATCAAAAATATTCAAAGTAAAAATTTTGTAAAAATTTTTGTGAGACATGCATATAATTCTCAAGAATAATATTACATGAAATTTTCAAATCAATATTTTTACCAAATACACAATGGCCAAGAATATCCAAAATATAAGTTGCAAGAATTTTTGTGAGGTATATGTTTCTTAAAAAATTACATCAAATGTTTAAATTAATATTTTTATCAAATATACAATGACCAAAAATATCCAAAGTATGTTTCGTAAGAATTTTTGTAATTTTTCTCCATAATAATTGATGTAACTTATTTTAAAAATTTTTTAAATAAACTAAAAAAATTTAGGTAACGGTAACAATTTCTGCATTGTGGAGTTGTTTATGTTGAGTGTTCTATATTGTGGAGTTATGTATGTTAAATAAGATTTGAGATAGAATCTAGCGATAAATTACTCTCTAAATCTGAATCAGTGGATAGTCACTAATTACCTAGTGGTATATTTGGCACTGATAATCAGTGAAGTTCAACTAAAAAGAAAGAATGTTTGAGCATTATATAACTAAAATACTGATATTTGCACGTTAATTTCAATTTTCCAATATCATATTCATTGAATTTAAGCACTAAAACAAGGTTTGTTAGATCACATAATAAAGATTAGCTAGGTTAGGAATCTCACATTTAATTCACTGATTACCAGTAGTATACTTGGCTGATATCAGTGATTATCCACTGATTTAGATTTAAAGAGTATGAAGAGAAAAGTTCAAGTTAACGTGGCTGCCGGCGAAATTAAATTTTAATCGAGTTTAACATGTTAATCTTGTTCTTCACTGTGACACAAGTAAATCGATTTTAACAGCTGCTTGTTTCATGTTACTAATAATTTGTGGTTACATACACACACACACACGCGCGCACACACATACATACACACATCCGACAATATATTTATAATATCAGTATATGAGATCACTGCGATGCTGCTTAATTATGCCCCTAAGATCTGAGGAAACTGGTCACACTTTGTAATCACAGTGAAAATTTCCAATAAGCATCTCTTTATAACAATAAAGATATGATTGCAATGTCTCGGTAATTAAGTCGACATGTGTATACATGAAGCTCAGCCAATTGTAGTTCTTGACAAGCCGTTCATCTTTAACAATTCCTCTTCTTAGAGATGTTCGGTAGCGGTATTCTGTACCGTATTAACGGTATTCATTGGTACCTTAATTGTTTAAAGACGTTCACATTACGACGGCAGCGAATCGACATGATTCTACGATTACGAATTACATAATTGCATCGATTCGCTGTTGCCGTTATTTGAAACAAGATTGTTCAAGAGTTAAAGAGATACCGATATACAAATGTAAAGGATGTTGAATCACTCGAAGTGTCAAGTTAAATTGCCGTGCGTCATGACGAATCCTTTGTTCCCCCCATGTGTTGCAGGCTATTCGAGATGGATGTAATCGTATATAATCAGCACGAAACTAGTAGCATTGCGAGCAGCACTGATAGTGCCGAGACTCAGTACGATGAGGAGAGCGTGCCTGACCTCGATATCGACGGGGATCTATTGTCGATCGATGGTGACAAACAGAACAAACTGCCTTTCCGCAGGAGCCTGTTCGATAATGTGCCACCTTACGTCGTCTTCCAGTCGTTTGACAGCAAGACTAGCTCGGCGCTGCCGTACGAAGTGACGAGACATCTTAAGTGGCACCTGACTACAGTAACACCGATATTAGTGCGTCGCACCGTTGTGAATTCCGGTTACCGGTTAATGAAGAAATGTCGATATTGGTGCGGTATTTGGGGCAAACACATGAAGTCCATCTCCTACAAGAGTTTGAAGGAATCGCAGAAGGTCAACCATTTTCCCGGCACTTTCCAGATCGGCCGGAAGGATCGGCTATGGCGCAATCTTAGCCGGATGATGATGAAGTACGGCAAACGGGAATTCAGCTTCGTGCCGCGCACCTACGTGCTACCTCAGGATATGCGTATGTTCCGCCAGGTGTGGGAGAAAAACGGCGGCAAAGAGAAATGGATCATCAAACCGCCGGCGTCCGCCCGTGGCACCGGAATCCGTGTAGTCCATCGCTGGTCCCAAATACCAAAGAAACGCGCCATCGTCGTGCAGCAGTATCTGTCGCGGCCGATGCTAATACGAGGCGCCAAGTTCGATCTGCGACTCTACGTGTTTGTCACCAGCTTTAATCCACTTAAGGTTTATATATATCCAGACGGCCTTGTACGCTTCGCTTCCGTCAAGTACAACGACGACATTAACTACCTCAGCGATCGTTTCATGCATCTCACCAACTACAGCATCAACAAGACTAGCGCGACTTACACCAACAACGACTCTGTGGATTCTAGCACCGGGCACAAATGGACCCTGAAAACCCTGTGGTCTTATCTCGAGCAAGAAAACGTAAATGTTGCCAAGATATGGAAATCGATAAAGGACATAGTCATCAAGACGATGATAGCTGGCGAATCTTCTATCAACACTCTAACGAGGTCCAATACATCTTCGAGGTAAGATTTCTACGATCGTTGAATTTGTTTTTCATAAAATTAATTATTCTTTTTATTGTTGTGCACTTAATGCTAATATATTTTTAGATTTTTACTACTGCAAAAATTAAATGATAAAAAAAATAAAAATTTAAATATGTTGTGAACAATTTCTTTTACAAGATTTTAGAATGCTGAATATAGAATGTTCGTTTTCCTGTGTGCTGAAATGTGATTAATTTGCTCATATGTTCCACTCAATATCTTTCTAATGTGTATTTTGTTAAATCCTAAGGTATTGTTGCTATGAACTTTTTGGCATCGATATTATTCTGGACGAGAACCGAAAGCCGTGGTTACTCGAGGTGAACATATCACCCTCTCTACAGTCTTCCTCGCCTCTCGACATCGCGGTCAAGGGGCCCCTCATTAGAAACCTCTTTAATATGGCCGGATACCAACTGCCCACATGCATACCGGCGGAGGAAGCGGAGAAACTAGCCCAAAGATATCAGTTAGATCCGGTGTGCCAAGATTACAGACTGCATCGAGCTACCTTTACCTATCAGGAACGTCATAAGCAATCCTTGTACTCGAATCTGAGAAATCGGGAGGACTATCTGGATGAAATAATCGATGATCTTACTCCCGATGATGTAAGACATTTGATTACGTATGAGGACGAGTTAACACAGTTGGGAAATTTTGAAAAGATTTTTCCTACTACCACCAGTCACCAATACTTGCAGTACTTTGATATTCCAAGATACTACAATATGTTATTTGATGCGTGGGAGGCCAAGTACAGTGATAATCGGGAGGGTGGAATCTCTCGATTGCAAAAGCTGTGTAAGACTAAGTATCATTTAGAACAAATCTTTTAGATCAGTGATGAACCCTGCGGTTCGCGGGCTGCAAGCTGCTCACCTGTGAATTTATTCTACCTGTGAATGTGGTCTGCCGAATTATAGCCAAAAATATAAAATTATTTTTTATTTTATCCAAACGAAATAAACATGCAGCCCGCAAAATTTTATCCATTTTTGAAAGTGACTCTTAACCCTTGAACACCACAAACGGACTGGGTTACGGTAACCCAGTCCGTTTGAAAAAACAACGATTTTTGAAAATTTCTTTCTTTTTTTTTCAAAATATCTTGGTTACCGGAAGTTTTATGATATTCTTATCTATATATTCTTTTTCCTTACTGTCTGTTGTATCGATTAAAAAAAAAAAGTTGAAATTAATGCATTAGATCCCGGAATAAAAGCAAAAGAAGACTCCAGGGTTATCGTAACCCATGTGTGGCGAAAATAGTGTGGTGTTCAAGGGTTAAAGTTTAAGGTTGCGCGTCACTGTTTTAGATAGTAATCTTTTTCTTTTCATACGTCATTTTATAACGATGGTACCGACATAAAAAAAGAATATAGAGTTGCGACATCGTTCCCGTTATTGACGCCTTATCGTGTGGAATCCTTTTTGTTTCACATGCTATGTGCGCTTTATTGTATACGGGTAAACGTACCATTTCCATGTCCATTGGTTCACCAAGGACCAAATTCATTATGTGCCTTTTTCCACGGTTGTGCGAATTTACTTTATTGTAATGAAATTTGACTTTAATAAACAATTTTTCATTAATTAGGCGCGGGATTATTAACGCCGTATTATTAGCCATCCCTTGCGAATTAATAATTTTGTCCTCTTTTTCCCGTTTAAAAACAGATTTCTCAAATAAAAATTGTTTATCTAGGATATAATAAATTTGCAATTATTTTAGAGATACAAGTTCATTTTTATTTTATTATAAAAAAATGAAAATTGTACAAAATTTACATTTAGTCTTTTTAAAATTTGAATTACAACTTGTTGCAAATATTTTTGGTTTTAACTTGATAATTTCACAAACAGGTTTCACAAGTGAAGAGTCAAGATATCAAGTGCATAAAGGTAAGAAAAAGGTTATTTGTTTATGTCTTTTTAACATGATGACTATGTTGTAAAAGATTGTTAAAGATACTCATAAAAACTTTAGGATCCGCAAAATTCATTATTCATGAATTTAATAAAATACAGACGCGCGTTGCCCTGAATTTATTTCTTTAGTCAGTTTAACACATGTGCCGATACAGTACGAAAAGCTCGTTATTGATAAAAACTTGTTTTAAATTCAATGATAAGGAACAAATAAGCATGACAGTCCCAAAGAAGGGAGACATTCGCACGAAATACCGACCACGGTGAATTGTTGACAAGTCATCGTACCGAGAATGACGAGATGTTCGGCTGAATGTTGAACGCCTAATAGCGACTCTTACGAGGGTTGTTCGACCGCAGCGATAATAAAAACTCAAAGCCGCCGATCTCTTTGTTAGTGTAGCGACCGTACGTAATTTTCAGCAACAAGAGCAAAGTTGCTTGACACCTGCTCTGGTGACACAGAGAAACTCTTCGCCTTATCTTCCTTTTGATTTATCGTCTAAATTCACAAAATTTTAATTAATAAATAACAATACACGTGTCTAAAAAATGATTTTAATTAAATGTAAAAAATTACAGTCTTACGTCTATTTCTATTAATTTTAATCTTAGTTTAATTTATTTATCTTTTTTTAATTCTTAAAATTAGAAAAAAGATAAAAAGTAAATTAATCCGAGATTAAAGTTAATTTATATTGATAAAATTAACTTAATTGATACAAGTGTATCAATAATGTCTACTTCTACCAATTTAGATTAACTTGATCTCGGTTTAATTTATCTTTTTTCAATTCTTAGAACTAGAAAAAGATAAAAAGTAAGTTAAATTGAGATTAGTTTACTTTTTATATTTTTCTGTTTGCAAGGAAGGACGCAACATTTTGTTTGCAACATTTTTTAAAGTATTGTACATTCGAAGCTTATAGCTGTATGCGGAGTCATTAGTTACAATAGTCAGTTATAATACTGACGATGAGACGAACCGTCCAAGATCTATGCGGTTTCACGGCTGTAACCGCTGGGTTTAATAAATCCGTACTGACAATTTAATGTCTCTATTGTGACCGCGACAGTCGGCGGTACCGACAACTGTGCTTGATTAGGTTAATACGAAAGGGGACCAGATTTCTTCGCTTCCGCCCTTTAAATTCAATTACTGGCCGGGTACTCCGTCACTTAAAATATCATATATCAGTTTTGTCCAGAGGAAGTACGATCCGTGATAGAGTGACCAAACCAATTGTCTTCAAAAACGAAGACAAGACAGAGCGTTTGATTCGCTCAAATCTTCCGTCTCGTTAAAGGATAATTATACCAGTAATCTTACGTCACGATGATTAATATTCTGAAATACTATTAACCCTTGACATTTTATACATGAATGGAACGGAAATATCTTCTTATATATAGTAAGATAGAACATGTAAATTCGTCTGCGTCAAATATAAATTATTTTGTAAATATTTGAAGAAAATAACAGCGTATACTGGCGTTTCTTTCGCCAAATTCGTGTCCGATCTTCTTTCTTTGAAAAAAAAATTATAAGAAACGCTCTATATATAATAATAATTAATGAAAAATATAATAATTATCTTTCGAACAGCGTCGACTTCAGACTCCTGGGCTTCAGATTTCGGAGGCGAAATTATTCGAGGACGATTTACATGGTGCACCGGTCAGGGGACACCCTACTATCGTTTGAAGACAATGGGCTCCGCTCGGTGCTACGACGGTCAACGAATTGATATCGTTATTGTAACGACATAATAGACGTATTTTCTTATTGAGATTGTAGCCCCGCATATGTGTGTGACGTGCGCGCCAAGCCGGCCGGACCCGTCTTTATGAATGTATTCATTCATGCGAGCGGCCGCGTGTGCGTTATGTAACCAACACAACGCAGATAGCACGTAAGGCTAAGGACCCCGTCTCTTCTACGTGAGGACAGATCTCAAGGAGACCCCCGCCGTTGGGAATACGGGACAGGTAATTACGCACGTTTTTACGTCGCCATCCATTAACGAGATTAGAACTCTTTGTCTACCTTCCGTCCGACGCTCTATCCGACCCAGAAAAAGTGCGAACCATATCCGGAATAATGATTTTACATCAGTTCCAAGAATCGTGCGTTGAAGCACTTTGGTCCATTTCAGAAGATCAAATTGAAATTATAAAATCGTCTTAATTGAGTCCTTAAATCGCACACACATACGTATATATAACGTACGAATTGCGCTTTGTCACTTGATCAAATTGATATTGGCGGTTGAATTCCTAATGAAAAGTTATTTCGTGGAAACGTGATTCAGAATTTAGTTCGCTCTTATCCAGCGACAAAATTATACGTGAGTTAAAATATATGCCATCGTTCTACAACTGTCTATATTTACGCAGAGAAAACGTAATAGTGGCAACTGTAAAAGTGATACAAGTTCTATATGTAAAATTAATGTACATAGTTGAATATATCAATTTATAGTATATTCGTAACTATAAAATATATAGTTTAATCAACTATTTACTTAATTCTACATAAAATTTGTACAGTTGTCTTTACAATTATTTTGCTATCACTATGTCTTTCTCTGACAATGAGTGTACTGCAATAAAAAATAATAATATATTTTCATGTCTTTTATTAGTCAATTTTAATATTTTTTTTTATTAATAAAGAATGAAAAAACATATGAGAATTCGCGAATATTATACTGAATGTAAAAGCGACGTGAAGTAATTTGCAATCATCAATGAATAATGATTTTAATTCTCTCCATGCCGATTAGACGTTCGATCTTTACTCGTGAACTCCGCGCGTGACGATTGTGAAGCGCGATTACAATATGTCCTCCGCACGTGTGCATAATTAGTGTGTCATTTATCATGACTGTTGGCTCGAGAATAGAGGTGGTCTCATACGATTATCCAAGGCCGTTCTCGGTCCACGAGTCATTCTAATACTACACTTTACTACACAAGTGTAGTTTCGACATTACCGGATATTTAACTGCGGCACGTGTTACATTCCAGTATTACGTAATTATTTACGGAGTCTCGCATAATTATGTTTTTCTATTCGCATTCTTTTTTAACCCTTTGGAGCTGACAATAAGTCCATTGGATCCACTCAAATATAAATCTCTTTATTAAAAACGTCAAATAATCCAATTTTTTTATGTTACATCTGCAAATTGGATTATTCTTATTAATTAAAATATACTTAGTATTCATTCTTTTTTATACAAGTTGTCATTTTAGTTCCTTGAAATTAATTAATACTTTTTAATTAATGTAAATTAAATGAGTCTTATAGATTCATCGTCAGTAATTGTATTATGGATTTTCTACAATTAGTCATCACCTAAGTCTTAAGCCGTAAGAAACTGACCAATTGTAGTCGATTATTCTTCTGACATTCAACTGTGATTGGTCAATTTGTTACGCCTTAAGACTTAAGCTTAGATAATGACTTATTGTAGAAAGCCTATTATAGATTTTGGCATCAGCTACGGAGCGATCCCTATATAGACGGTCAATAATTATATTATTGCACAATATTATTGGTCGTCTCCACACTGTTTATTTTAAATTATTTAAAAGAGGCATCAATAATATTGTACAAAATCATTGTACAATAATATTGAGCATCTAAGGGCTGTTTTTAAACGTCCGAACGTGTATTTATAAGGAGCTTGTTTGACTGGTTCATGGTTTTTCTTAAGCCTTAAAAGTTTTTAGGAAAATTTTCAATAATATATTTCATATCTATCTATCTATATTTACGCCAGAGATGTCTGAAAATAAAAGATGAAAGGCGAGATTATCTATTATCTATTGTTATTTATGCGCGTATCAATTGCGGATTAACGGCGATTCGTCTTCCACCACTGTTGCACGCGCGAAACTCGCTTGTGCGCTTGAGGAACGTACTCGACCCTGGATAACGACTTAATAAACCGGCAGCCGCCACTGGGGAGGTACGAGTAGGGGGGTACGGGAGGGGAACGGCCGCGGTGCGGGCGGATGCGAGCACGTGGAGCGGCGCGGGGGCATCGCGGTAGTCAGGTGCGTCGCGTGCCCCCCACCTCCGTCACGTAGCTAACTCGTGCTTTGTTTTGAGAAGGCTTAAGAGCGCCCGTTCCCACGCTTCCGCGCGCGTTCTCCTCCCGTGCCTCGTGTCAAAATTCGTATTCGAGATACGGCGGTCTCCCGATTATCTCCCCCGTTCGTCCATCCGTTTGAAATTTCGATCGCAGTCGAGGATTTATTCCTTCACGATGCAGTCACGCGTGAAGACTGTATCTTGTAGACTGTATCTGCAACGATCGGAAATCGTTAATGTCGCATTATACATTCAGAGAAAAAACAATAAACATATATGAAAAATTAGTATACAAATTTGATATCATGTAAAATTTATGTACATAATTGAGTAAACTATTTTATAATTGCCATAATTGTTACTGTATAATAATAAAATAATTTATTTAACACTTTGTACATTAATTCTACAAAACTTGTACAATTTGTTGCTACTACTTTTTTTTTTACAAATAAAGTAGCAACGAAAAGGACACGTGAAAATGCGAAGTGTTCTTTTTGTTTTGATTTACAAATCTACTGGCATATTAATTACGCGATTCTGATTTGCACGCAATATGTGTGGACGTTAATTTTG